TGCAATGTAATTGTTAATTATTTTATTGTATTTCGCGAATCATAATGCAATATGATTTTAGCGAAATATAATAAAATAATTAAAGAAAAAAAGAGAGATATAAAATTAAAAAATAAATTTAAAACATATGACGGACCAATCACAAGTGATACCCGTATAGTCACTCTGATTGTAGGTTCTCTACACTAGTGCAGTAAAGTTTTAATGTATTAAACCTAACACGGCGCTAGTGTTGCACCAGTTTTCCCAGTAGAAAATGAATTGAACACACCTCTTCTACCATGATTGCCGTCATGGACATCGGACATAGTGGTCTGCTATTTTTAACCTGCCATCACCTATATACCATTAATTACTGAAGTTGTTCGTTTGCATTTGTTTTAGGACTCTTTAGGTGGAATAGCTCGAGAAATTTAGGTATTTTAATTCTTCGACTTCCATCTTTCACGCGTTAATTTTTTTATTTCTTTTTTCATCATGAATTGCATAATAATATAAATGAAACTGCGAGGTGCAAAATAAGGAATGAACAAAACGTTAGGAGCTATACTTAACGAGTCTGAAAGAAGGAAAGATCACTGAAAACTTCTACTAATTCTAACAGAATTTGCAAAGAATGCCTCGTCATACTTCGTAGATGTATTCTTTTCATAAATACCTTGATGTTCTGTTTAATATCAGAAATTTTAGATTGTTACATAATCTTTTTTAGTTTTAAGATTATTTCGCAGAAATTCGTTCAATTAGCAACAAAAAATGTTTTGGTTAATTTATCTTCTGTGTCATTAGTTATTACGTTACACTTTATGGTTTTTCTTTTTTCTATACGCCTTGAAGATATCTGTATCTCTTCTTTTTCATTTCAAGAAAAAATTATGGGTAACACTCTTACCGCAGCATCTGTATCAGCGGCTGATGTGATAGCACCACTACCTCAACAAATCACAAAACCAAATTCTCATGAGATGATAGAGAAACAGATGAAACCACCACTGGAATGTCCCATGCACAAATCTGATCAATTTAATACTATAAACTACACTAGTGAATGCCCAATAGATAAAATGGACGAAAGTGAAATAAATCCATTAAATATGGTATGTATTGCAAAATTTTGTTAGCAGTCAATGAATGAAACGTTTAACTAATTACATACTGACTCTTTTGATGAGTCAGTCATTTGCACTATATTGAATTATTAGTACATAAAAGTTTATATAAAGTATCTAATACGATAGCAACAACTAATAATATAATACTACAAGTAATATAACAATTGTAACAACAAAATTATGTATATATATATATATATATTTAGTTTAATTATGTGGCAATATTATTATCGAGTATTTGATTGTATAAAATATTTATGCTTTTATATTTAACTTTGTTGATTTATATAAGGATCATATAAGGATCTTTTAATATGCACTAATGTAATGCAAATTCGTTGAATTCGCTATTTTATTCATATGTAAATAAATATAATTACAGATGCCACCAGCAAATCAACAACCTGCTCCAGACCAACCATTTCCTTTACCAACCAGTAGACAAGTTTCGTCGATACCTAAAGCAACTGGAGAGGAAGGAGAATTTTGGGTATATCCTTCTCAACAAATGTTCTGGAATGCTATGTTGAGAAAAGGATGGCGATGGAAAAATGATGATATTTCCCAGAAAGATATGGACGACATAATAAAAATTCACAATGCCAATAACGAACAGGCATGGCAAGAGGTTCTTAAATGGGAAGCCCTTCACGCGCGAGAGTGTGGCAATCCCAAGCTGCGTAGTTTTGGAGGAAAAGCATCCAAATATTCTCCACGTGCGCGTATTCGCTATTGGATGGGGTACGTTGATCTTTATAATCTTGATTCTAAAAATTGTAACCTGCTGATCTATTCAAATATATATATTTATGTATGTGTATATATATATATATATGTATATATATATATATATATATTGTATATGTGTGTGATCATATCATTTTGGTCGATATGATTAAAAAATTATAAAAAATAGAAAATTTTCATTTCAGAAAAAAGATATATTAATAAATGAAGTCATCAAATACTAGAGAAATTTTTTAAATAAAATGTTAAAAAAAAAGTTATATTTTGAGTCAGATAGATCAAAGAAGCCAGCAAAGTTGAGTCGTTACATAGTCTTTACAATGCTACATTAAATATATCATACTTTCAGGTATGAATTACCATTTGATCGACATGATTGGATCATAGATCGTTGTGGAAAAAACGTAAGATACATTATCGACTATTACGATGGTGGAAAAGTTAACGAGAAGTATACGTTTGCGTTACTCGATGTGAGACCCGCAATGGATTCGTGGGATAATATCTGGGATCGGATGAAAGTAGCATGGTGGCGTTGGAAATACCAATCCAACGATGAATCAGTGTCTACTGCCACAGTGCATTAATTTAAAAATTAGTATTAATAAAAAAAACAGTTCGAAAAATTTTTACTAAATTGATAATTAATGCCTTATGATAGTTATGCAGCACATTATTTATTGCGTGAAACAAAAATTACGATACATATAATTTATGTACATATTAGTTATATATATATAAGTATCATAAATACAAATTTACAATACTTATGTATATTTAGTTTCCAAAGTAACATCAAATTAAAGCGAATTAAAAAGTATATATTCATACTTGATAATAAATTTTATATATAATATATTTACAAATATATTTATAAATTTATGTATAATGAAAAAAGTACATACCTTTTTTATTATATATAAATTTATTACAATTTATCTGCAGTGTTAAGTAATCACTGGAAATGATTTTATAAAGCTACAAATAATTTGAACTTACTGCCAAATATTAAGATCGAATATTCTCTACTTAGGTCTTAATACTAAGTATTCAAAGATTAAGTAAAAGAATTGTGTGCGTGTGTGTATTTTGTGTGTGTGTGTGTGTGTGTGTGTGTGTGTGTATATATATATATATCTTATAATATTTACAATTGATACATTTACAATTTTGCTTTTTCAAATTTTTATATGCGAATATGTTTTAATTTAAGTTTTAGTATTCGATTCGAATAATAACACGTAAACTGTGATCTGGCAGTTAGGCAAACTTAAATTGTACATAAATATTTACATTTTCATAATCATACATCCCTTTCTTTGATTATTCATGTAGAATACTTTTCGTGTAGTAGAATTTTTCATGTAGAAAAGGAAAAATATCAAACTTCTAATTTTAATCAGAATTTTGAAATATTCCCCGAATTTATTGACATTTTTCGGTATCAAAACATTTTTTAATTGTTCAGAACAGGCTTGCGCATTTCAAGGTATAGATATCCGCAACACTCATAATATCATTATCACTTTGCCAATTATTCGCGCAATATACTTTCGATAAGAATAAATATTATGAAATATGCGTTTTAAATTAACGCAAATTTCGCTTACCAATATAACGCTACTTGATCCGGAGCCAGGGTCGGAGACTTTTGACTTTTCTGGGTGTGAAGTACCTCAATATTTCAATAAATTTTTTTTATGAGAAAGTATTAAACTATTCATATCTTAACTATACATATTACTCAACTGCATGTTTTAAATTAGGAGGTAAATAATTTAATAAATATTCACATTGTACATTATATAATTTTTTATTGTCAATATACATATAGCTCCATGTAGTTTTCACAATATTTATAGTTATTAGCAGAATATGTAATAACTTCGTACATCTTATAGACTAAAATTTACATAACTTCATTAATGGATTGAGAACCGTTTATTTTAGGAAATTAATAATTATGCTGCAAAAGTTTAAATATTGTTGAACAAGTGATTATAAAGTTAGCATTAAGATAAAAAAATAAACCTGAAATACAAAAATAATACATGATGCTATTTTCTTCTAGTAAAACTTAAATAATCCAAATTAATTCATTTCAATGAGTTTCAATATGTAAAACTTTTTAAATAACAATATTCATTTTTTATCTAGAAGTTCCTCAACTATTTACATATGTAATTGGTATTCCTTAAATATAATTTAGAATATATATATGACTATATTAGACAGTACAGAACCAAAGAATTGCACTTCATTTTCTGAGTAAGAATATATGTAATATAGTAAATGTTGCTTATTAAAAATAATCTATTTTTATAAAGTGTCATTCATATATATTAAAGGCAGTTATTGGGAGCTATATTTTTCATTGACATGATGTAAATTAATTGATAAACATCTTTCCTAATAAAATATCCAACAGTAAAAAAAATATATATATTTGATATACTTATAGAAATTTGTAATCAATTATTATCTGTAAGCCAAAGTTGTTGTTTTTCTATTTTTCTGCAGTTGTATGTATATATTAATACTGATATATACATCATACTAACATGTGCATAATAATGATACGATTGAATTTACAATAATCTAAAATTTTTATAAGATATGATACTGTTTAAGCTAGACATTTTTATCATAATATGTCTAACATTAAACACAATTGTAATTTTATAACTGATGAATTCGATTCTCAATATTTTAGTATTTTAATAAAAGGCAGCTGCTACATATGAAATATCCCGACATTCACAATTTTGATAACATTTACTTTTTTGAACATTGTTTTGATTTTATTATAATATTTATTTAGAGTTTGTTAAATATACAACGATTAGATAATAATCTAATATTAGATAATAGTCTAATATTAGATATTACACTAAATTTTATATCTAAATAGAGCTTGAATTTTAAATTCTGATGGTTTAAATAGAATGTCATATATACTGTTGGCACATTAAATTATTTCAGAGAAATTAATTCTAATATTAATTATAACAATAAAAAGATAAGCAATATCGTTAAATTTAGTTTCTTTTATATGTATATATAAATGATAAGCAACAATAATAAAAGCAGCAATGTAATATAGAAGCAGTAATAATAAAATATTCCATTTATAATATACAATATCAAATAAAAGAGAGTAACATCAAATATTATTGGATAACATGAACATATACAGCATGTCTTGCTTCTACCTGAGCACTTTCGTCTAATAAATAAAAATTGTAGAGAGAAGCATTGATTAATGTGCAAGGGAAACGACTGAGATATACTGACGGTAATTAATAAAAATTGAAGCGTGCTTTATTCATATATATATAAATGTATATAACATATTTCTCTAAAAATTTAAATTCAGTATCTGTCACATATCTACGTATGTATCATAAAACTTGTTTATAATTTTGATTATGACATTCTCTTTAATTGTATGTGATATTAATTTCAAAACATATAGTTTTATCTTATTATATAATTTTTTTCTGACTTATGATCGATTTATAGTTTATACCAAATTCTTGTTAACTTCAAATCTGTAATCAAATTTATAACCTTTATATTATTACAGTATATCGCACAAGAATATCTCATTGTTAAATCTGATTATGTGGTAAATAACGATGACAATTACCAGAACCACAAAGACAAGAAGTATCACTGAGATAATGGACGGAATTAACCATTGCACCACCAGCATAGTCAAAAGTCACTTCCTTTCCGTTCTCTATATCTTTAGATGCAAACAAACATAATCGAGGCACGATTCCCTCTACTCTAATCGGGATAAGGATAGAGTTCGGGTCACAGCTATGGTTAGCATAGCGTCCAATATTACCAAAATATTTCGGATCTATACAAGTTACAATAACACGATCTCCAGCATGTTCTGATACTACAAGAACATAATTCATCATGTTACCCTGCTTATTAGCCTCAATTCTGCATCGCGCTTCTTGTAGACTTATCACTTCGCCAGCATATTCGCAAATAAATTGACCCTTTTTTATTAACTTATTCGTGAAAAGACCAAGACCTTTATTGGTAACTTCTCTGACAATTAAACAATTTAATGGACCATTCTGTACTAATCTATTTCCACAATCTGGTCTACATTTACAACGAGCATGGCATTCAAATACCGGACCGATTAATTTCTCATCGACAATTCGAGCATTAGAATAATTAGCAGAACCGCGTGTACACGAGCAATTAAAACATTCAGCTACACACGAACAGCCTACAGCGTATTCTGCTTCAAAGTCTGCTGTATCTATCCCAGGCCCTGGTATATTATTTATTATGTACATAACGTTTGCTACAATATGTTCGTACTCGTCGGCAGAAGCATTCGCTTCCATGCTTACCGTAATTATGTATCAATAAAAATATCCAAAAAAGTCCGAGAGACTCTTTGGGATAAAGGCAGCACGAGATAAAGAGGAAAAATTGTTTTTTTAATTAAGAAAAGGACTTTTCTTAAATAAACAAAACCCTATCGTGCGACACCAACCTGTAGAAGTCCCTGAACCGATGACTTAAGAGATTGGAACGTGATAGCAGCGGGTACCGCTACAACTCTGTAACCTATGTAAATTACAACACCAAGTACAGATGCCTTAACAGTCTGCTTCAAAATTTTACCCGACAACGATGGTGGTGGTATTCTGCAAAAGATTGTCTAGTAAATTAATATGTAATGGAATACATTATGCTTTAATATAATATAAAGGATTCGTAAATTTTATTTAATTTAAATTTTATCGCCAAATCATATAAATCAAGAAATATAACAAGAAAATATGACAACAAGAAAGAATACGCAAAATGTAGTTCTATAGATATTTTTAGAAATATCTTATATAACAGCAATTATATTATGCAATATTTTTTACTTACCTCATGATAGGCGGTATATCGGAAGGCTTGACTTTACCCCAATTTTCAATGATGCCGGGTGTGTGTCCTAAACCGACGATTCCTACGACACGTGCTGGTTCGTAAGAATGATTAAAAACACAATGAGGCAGACATGATAACTGTAGAGAATTAGTTAAGTAAATATCTCTCTCTTTCACAAACACTTCTCCCAACACTGGAAACTTCTCCTTCATGTTGGCAATTATTTCGTCCAACATCGATCGTTGTTTACAGAGTTCGACGTCCTCTTGAGTAATAGAATCTTTCATTACTGCCAGTTTCCATCCTAGTTTTATAGTTTGCCACCAGGACAATGATCGTATCGCACGTTGCATTGTTATGTTAATTGGTCGATCAGCCAAATGAATAATACAGTTTGGCACTTTCTTTGCCTAAGTTATATAATAATGAATTCAAATAAATTTTATAATACAGATAATAAGTGTTTTCTAGCAAGAGATACAGATGACATAGGGAAATCGTTTCATTGAATATTTTCCATTTAGGCTGCATCTCATTTAACGCTCACAACATTCGTGGAATCATTTCCTTGTCGTTTATCAAATGTTGTTTATCAAATAAAGACAAATGATATTCGTGAACGTTGCAAGCGTTAAATGGAACGCAGCTTTAGTGACACAAGCCGACACAAGCATCATTCTGTCTTTGTTACTCATGGAATGTCAAGAAAGATAGAATGACATTTGTGTCGACATATTTATTAAATAGAATGCATCTTCTAACATTGGCAAACAACAAAGATGTTATAATTCACTGTGTTACATTGTATCAATTGCGTCTCTTGCTGAAAAACGCCTAATGTTTCTGATTTGGTGTATACTGACCTCCTCAAATGCCCTTCGGAATTCCCCTCCGGGTGGCATACCAAGTTCCTTGGCGACATGAGCTGCCATTCTTAGCAATAAAATGTGTAGTAAGCCATCATACAGTCCTTCTCTCTTAATGGTATCCATAATAGTTTCTGTAAATAAATTAAGTAGTACAATATGTCAACACAGATAGCTGATGTATTATATAAATACAGAAACTCTGTCTCACTATAATCAATGTTCTTAGCATAGCCAAACAAAATTTCCTCATCAAGTTGTAGTATACCAACTCTGGCTCTGCATAATTCAACTGCAACTATGTGAGGCTGCACAGCTTGTATAATCTTTAACAAAGTAAAAAAAGAATGTTATTTTCAATATTATATATATTAAATTTTTACAATAAATTCATACTTAAAATTAAAAAGCAATATTTTATTTTCACAGAATAAAGGAAAGTACATATATAGTTACTTTTGACACATCATTTTGACTTTCAACACTGAAATGTGCCGTTCCTACTAAGTACAACTTTCCTCCATCAGGTGTGGTCAATAATGTGACAGTTTCTGGCAATCTCTCATCAATCGTAGGATCGTACTCCCTTAGTTCGCTTACCGTATTGCCTATGTTACTTCCCTTATTCTGGATATTGGAATCTGCATTAGACCCAATATTTTTTGTATTATAAATACATGGCCAATATATACCTAAATAGTTGAGGTTAAATTAATCTCGAAAATTACAGCAATGTACCTTGAGACCTTAAAATTTTCCTTCTACTTCTATATTGTTTTTGTGTTACTGACATTTTTTTTAAAGCACTGCTCTACACACAATAGCTTAAGTTATGACCAACAATGGCTGATTTTATTATTAGATTAAAAAGATTTTGTATAAGTGGGAAACCTTACAATATTAGCTGCATCAAAGTGTCCCTCATAACTAAAGATACACTTGTCAAGTGAATTTCTAACGACAGCTAATATAACAAAAGTGTCTGCAGAAATCTTAAAATTTGTTTTTTATTGCTGTATTGGATTGTACTTTCTTAAAACTTTCTTTCTCGCTTTTGTTAATCTTCAAACATATATCTATTTCACTTTCATGAGTAACACTTAAAGAGTGTTAGTGTATGCTAATTCAGCTAAAAGACAGATCTTTAATTTCTTTCACATGTTCATGGTAAATGTTTAAAGTGCATATAACTCGATAATTACCTTCATCAATAAGAATCATTTCATTGTCAGAAGATTCGGTGCTTTTCATCTTGTTATCATCATTACCACGATTGTCATCTGTGCTCACTATCGATAATGTACACGAAGACTGTGTTGCTGACTGAGAATCTGATTGTGTTATTCCGCGTCCAGATTCTTTGGCAATCAATTCTTTTGTAACATTTTGTGCATTTAGCTTCGATGTATCATGATCCCCTCTTTCATCAATTAAGTTGTAGTGCTTGTCCTTTATGGACAAATTCGTTAATAAATCGTTCTCCCTTTGATCACCACCGACATGCTTATCAGCTTTAATAGAAATGGATGCCATTTCTTTTCCTGAAAATCCATATATTTTTATAACATAATCATCTTTGTTTTTAAAAACTTTCTAAAATATATCTGTTACAATTATATGCTAATAGACCATTGGAACAAACTTGCACTCGAATAACATATAAAAAGAAAAATACTAATTTAACGTTATAGATTTTTATACTTCTAAAATAAAGAACATTCCCGAGTTCCCTTCAGAATCGAATTTTGTTACCGTTACGTACGTCTTCTTAGGCGGCAGATGTGAATTGCTGCATGCTTTTAACCTCGTGGAGAACTGACACGTTTTTACAAAAAAAAGATTCTCGCATCGCTATAACAAAAGAATTGTGTAATTTATCTTCAATCAGGTTAGTCGTCGTCGTTATTAATCTTGTAAACTTACGCGGCGGACGGGAATTTGGAGAAAAATATAACGTATGGAGAAATGAGCATCAAGACCAAATCAGACCAAATAGATCAAGTCATCTAGTAGTAGCACCTGTATAGGTATACTAGTATTCAGTGGTTGCGTTCAGTAGAAAAAGCAGTTTTGCACTGTTGTAAAATTCTTTAATATGATTGGTCTTATCCTTCCTCACTGGATCTAAATGTATAAACCAATCATATTCAAGAATTTTACAACAGTTGCAAAACTGCTTTTTCTGCTGAACTCAGCTGAGAGGTATTACAGATTAGTAGCAGTTTTGTCGGTAACTTTCACGCCATGATAAATTTGTCAAGTACGCAAAATGTGTGTACGAATATATGTAATACTCTTATATTGCTAACGCCATTTAAGAGCTCTGGCGAAAACACCACGGTGTGCAGACGATATCTACCTCTCGCTTAGATAATGTACTTGAAACTTCAATACGCATGCGCTCATTCCTAACCAATGCATGTATGGAAGTGAGAAGTCCGATTATTCTCTATCTTTCTGTCTTCGCACACCTCTCACCCCCCAAAAAGAGGCTGCGTTAGCAATATAGGAGTATTACAAAGTAAATAGATTTTTTCTTAAAATTCTTCAGAGGTCTTAATGTTTCAGAGATTGTATATAAATTTTAATTTCTAAATTTTTCAAAAATTTTTATATAATTTTCAAATGTTTTAGAAAATTAATTCTAATAAATTATATTGAACGACAGATATGAGGTCTGTTTTTTATTGCTGGATTTTCTGAACTGATATACAGAAATCGGATACATCAGAATACATTTCTGATAGATTGAAATCGTTTATTCCTTATTCTTAATTCCTTATTCCTTTTGTGCGCAGGACCTTAATCAGGTTTAATAATATTCATAGTTATGAAATTGATCAATTATCAGGCCGGTATTCGTAATCAGATCTTATATTCAAGACTGTTTTAAGTATGGTCTTAAGAAGTCATGAACCAATTAGAGGACTACATTAGCGCCTTAAGACATTACTTAAGACGGTCTTGAAATAAGAATCAATTATGAATACCATAACTGTTTCTCGGAAGAATGGAACAACTGTGATTGGCCAGTTTCATAATTACAGATGTTATTAAACTCGATTAAGGATCGGTTTCACCAATGCCATTAATTAAATCGGTCATTAACTGATTAATTATATTTGTTATTCAATACTGTTTATTCATTGTTTAATAGAATTGATCAATTACGATTGACAGTTAATCTCGATTAGGCTCAATCGGTGAAATCGGCTCTAATGCGGGGTTTACAATAGAAGTCATAGCGGTCAAAAGGATCTTAAGCGTAGAAAATTGACCAATCACAATCGATTATTCTTTTCATATTCGATTATGATTGGTTAATTTTCTATAACTTAAGACTCTACGACCGCTACGATTTCTATTGTAGATCCTGCATTATAAGGATATCGTGTAAATGTAGTCAATATTGCTTTAATCTCGATTTAATTAATTTACTCTTTATTTTTTTTCTAATATATTTATGGCATTCCAAAACGTCCTCTCTGAGGAAATTTTTACTGAATATAAAATATAGCATGCTTTCTTTGACACAATCAACACGAGGGTTAAAATTAATCTACATTGATAGAAATAAGTTGTATTCTAGTATTCACAAGTATTTGCAAGTACTAAAATCTATAAAATACGTGAAGCCTGAGACATAATTGAGAAACACAAATAACGGAAACAGGGAATAACAAATTTTAACCTATCAGAAATCGTGTATTCTGGTGTACATGATTTCTGATAAGTTGAAATCTGTTCAAATATATTATTGACTGTTCCTATTGCTTGCGCTTTTCAGTTGTGCATTAGGCTTTATATTCTTCTCCTTTCTTCCCCCTTTCAGGCGATCCAGCACCAGGCCTGATCAAGCGGGGTGTTTGTGCCTGTTTGTGCTCCGTGATTCGTACTGTCACGGATCCCGGTTCGGGATACTGCCGCGAGATTCAGTGAAATTCATCGTCGCCGCCAGGCTTCGATGAAGATGAAGCGGATGAAGAGCGAGGTGATCAGCGCGACGATCGAGTCTTACCTAAAACGGCGTCATTATCAGGTGCGGTGTCTCTCATCGGAGTTTCACGCCGCGCGTGGTTTGCCATCGATGTGTACACCATAACCTCCTTCACCGCTGTTGCATGTTTTTCCAGACCCACGATTATCGCAAGGGTGATCAGTTGTTCTGTCAGAATAGCGATCAGACGACGTTGAACGCGACCGCGGAGTGCGGCACCTCGCAGGACAACTCGATCGTTTTCAGTGCCATCACCATTGACATCGCTGCGGCAGATCAGGCATATCAACGGTACGGTTTTATAGGACTTGAATTCGTGTTCGAACCATACGATGTGATTACTATTCCGTTTGTTCTAGCGAGATAAGGCATTTGTTGCCTGATCACGCAATGCGTTCAATCTTACTAATTTTAGATTCTAATATTTTATATTGAATTTTTTATTCAGAATATAGTGTGTGTTTGATGTAGCTTTCATGCGACTCTGAATTCTCAGGAAACAGCTAAAAATTAGATGCATTATGTTTATTTAATGGTGAATTCGGTCAATTATACTGGATTAGTATACATTAAAGACTGCTTTATTTAAGGAGATTGTAAAGGCATAAAACACATATATTAATATTTACGCTTTAAACAAACTACATACATGTGAAAGTTGTGTACTCAAACATTCTGGTTTTATTGAGCAACACATTTTTATAGATTATTTATTTTATTTGTTATTAGTTTTATTGTTATAAACAAAAATTGTTAAAATAATAAGAAAAATCTAAATTTTTTTATATAAATATATTAAGTACTAAACATGACTTATGCAAAGTTTCATTGAGATTCACCATTAGTGACACCATTTACAACAAATAATAAATTTTATTTATTTACTGAACAATTAATGTCTGCATCTCAAGGTAACTTTACATAAATATTGTTGAATTCATAAAGCATTTATATTTAAAAAATTGAGATTTTTATCATTATTTTATAATAAATTTTCATATATTAGAGTACAAATTTAAAAAAATATTTCTTATTTAAATAACTTATTTAAATAATTTTTGATCCAGATTGATCAACTGTCTCTATTTTTTTGTATTATTATTAAATGTAATTTAGAATAGTTTGTAATTTTTTCAAATAATTCTTAACATATTGCATTTGTCATACAACCTCCTTAAATGCAGTGGCATAATACAATTAACTTGAAATAATGCATGTATATTCTATTACAGAACATGACATTATTGTTATTATTAATCATTTAAAAATACTTATGTTTCTACATTTAAAATTATGAAAAGAAGAGCATAAGGAACCACAGCACAAGTTATAGTTTGTGATATTTAATTATTATTGCATCAAAAATTGATTATTACAATAAAAACATTAAACGTTTCGGCCACAATCTGGCCATCTTCAGTAAATTAATATTCTTAAGACGCAGAGTTACATCAAGTTGGAATAAAATTCAATCGTCAATGTGTTATAATTGTAAAAAAACGTATATACATCTATGCGACGCTGCTTCGTATAATAATGTTGGAACGTCAGAAGTCATATCATGAAAAGTGTAGAACGATAATTTCCAGATTCTAATTTAAAATAATTTATTCTATCATTAATATCTTTTAAACGGAGTATAAAACAATAGAATCGTTATCTGTTTTACAGCAAAAAATATAACGAATCTCAAGTATAATTGCACAGATAGAAATTTGTCGTGACATTATGTGTTGTTATTGGTCATATCATATCTTTTACCGCTATTTATATAAATTTGTCGTGACATTAGGTGTTGTTATTAGTCATATCATATATTTTACCGCTATTTATAACGATTCTATTGTTTTATACTCCGTTTAAAAAATATTAATGATAGAATAAATTATTTTAAATTAGAATCTGGAAATTATCGTTCTACACTTTTCATGATATGATTTCTGACGTTCTAACATTATTATACGAAGCAGCGTCGCATAGATGTATACACGTTTTTTACAATTATAACACACGACTGTTGAATTTTATTCCAACTTGATGTAACTCTGCGTCTTAAGAATATTATTAATTTACTGAAGATGGCCAGATTGTGGCCGAAACGTTTAATGTTTTTATTGTAATAATCAATTTTTGATGCAATAATAATTAAATATCACAAACTATAACTTGTGCTGTGGTTGCTCTTCTTTTCATAATTTTGAATTTATAACCACATTTGTTTTTTACATTTTCTACATTTAATTTTGTTGATTTCATGTATAGTCACTTTTAGTAAATTTTTATTAAGCATTAATTTAATACATTAGTAGATACATTTGCATGCTGATGCTTGATATTTATCAATTTTGATTACGTGACTTATTTTAACACTAAAAATGAACATCGAGCAAGTGACTGAATTCGTTATAACAGTCTTCTATTTTTATAATTTGTTTATTTATTTAATGACTTGTTTTTGTTAGGGAAGGCTGTTATCAGAATAATTAATAGCGAACTGAATTGGACATACTGCACTCTAATATATGTACAGCCGGTCACAAAAAGATTTTTTTTCAATGAATTTAGAAACTAAATCTTGCTCGTAGAGTAGAGCGGTTGAGCGTAAATGGTTAGATTCATAAATAAGAATGAATCGGAGAGTAAGGCTGCATTCTGCAACCAAAAAAAAGTTGCAACTTTTCTGTGATCGGTTGTACATTAATCTTTAAGACCCAGTTTCACTACTCATGGTTAACCGAGGTTCAACTTATTCAATTCTCTCTTTTCATCAAATGTCTCTTTTCAATTCTAGAATTGGAGAATGGAGAGATGGAAAACAAATTGACTCTCGGTTAAGAGTTAACCATGAATTGGGTTTAAGAGTCTCTTTTACCAACCTCGATTAAGTTAACATGGGGCTTATTTAGTTTCACAACTTATGGTTAACTCTTAACCGAGGTTCAACTTATTCATTGTCTCTTTCTAATTCTAGAATTGGAAAGAAATGAGAAACAAATTGAAATAAGAAACAATCTCGGCTGGAACTGGGCCTAAATGAGCTCCATGTAACCATTAATTAAGTTAACCGACGATTATATGAGGCTC